GAACATGGTGTTGGTAGTTTCAAATTTGTAAATATTTGTGATTGTTGCAGGGTGAATTGTAATGCCCCTCTTTCCATTTGAATTAACCACGAATACAAAACTATCGTGTCGTCTCGCATTTTTATTCTTTGTAGTTGATTAGAAATTGTATATTTCATCACTAGGGTGTAAAATGACTCTTTTCGACACGAGCACAAGTTAAACTGAGCGATGGTTAAAAAGATACATTTTACCCGTGCGTCAAACAATATTTTTAATTTTGTACTATTATTGAAGAAAGCTGCGAAACGAAAATATTTTACATGTCAATATAAGCTCCTAAAATGACTTTCATCTTGTTTTAAATTATGCTATGAACAAACAGCTGTTTAGCAATCGTTTCGTCTGCTACGATCGTATTTGCATCCAATATATCGATGATAGATATCGATATATTGTATTTATCGGGTGCGCTGACGTCACCAATCTGATCCATAATGATGACAATTTTTTATTTGTAGAAGATATGTTTAAAATGTAGTTTAATCTTACTTTAGTTACGAGTTACCCCATCAGCTCAAAAAACTTTAAAAATAAAACTGTCGCTGTACTTCAACGTTTACTCTATGTAAATCTCAACAGTTCATCCACACACGAGTTAAGTTCTTCGTGACTTTCCGGTAAACAACTCAAGTTTAACCGCGTAATAACGAAATCAACTAACAACAATCAATCTACAGAAAAAGTGACGATTACGCAAGCATGAAGTTTATCTTCAAGGTTGAAGGTAAGCACCAATGCATTTACCTCGGTGAATGCACCAGTGAAAAAAACTAACCCCCAAAGGTGGTTGTGTTGTTTTAAAATCGTCATACTAATATTCTTGTTTTGCCACAAATGTTCTTCAAAGTGATTGAAAAAAAAAAAACTTAAGGCTGAAGAAGACCTGGTCCTATAACAGCCCCATTCCGGGGGGGTCTCGGCTCTCTGTGCTGAACTATCACGATTTTTTAAAATTAGGTGTTCCAACCAGTTCATCTTCAAGGTTGACGTATGATTTTAAAACCATTGTTAAGTTGCCAATATGAAATAATTGTCATTGTATCGTAGGTTAGGAATACTGCTATTTTAGTTCTGAGATATAATTTGTTTTCCATGTACCGGTACGAAATATGTTATCTAAATCGTCTTGGATATTTGTATACTACAGTTATTTAATGGCGCTTTTGCTGTATAAGGGAACCAGTGATTTATAAACTATTAAAACAAAAGTTTAGGAAATTTAAATGCTTTCCCTAAAAATCCAAAACTTGTATCGACGTGTAGTGACATATCGGCGCAGTTAACAAATGAAGTTTAGAAAGAAAATAAATAAATATCTCCAAATTCGATCTACCAGTTAAATTGTGATAATATTTTGAAAGTCTAATACTGTTTTAAAGCAGTACTAACAATTCCCTACTTCCTGACATTTCCAATCATATTTGCCTACCCTCATCTCATTGGTACATTTTTACTTATCCATCTAAACTTTTCCAGCTAAACTAACTGAAAAATATTGATTTATTTTTATGACATTATTTCTAGGAAAATAAGAATGCAACAAATTAATTTTGCATCAAATTCAATCGTTTCCGAAGCTTAAGTGTCACATATGAATTCAATGTGAATTGCATAATGCTTTTATACAGGTTTTCTGAGTCATTATTTACGTACGAAACTAACAAATGCCCACGAGCACATAGTAAACATAGTTCAGTAGAAACATCTTGTGAATGTGTGAAGTCAGCAACCTTGAAGATTAAATGGACCATCAATCTTCTAGGAATAGAGAATAGTTGCGCAATTGAGCAAACTCGTAGACTAGTTCATCAGGTCAGGGAGAGAGAGAGAGAGAGAGAGAGAGAGAGAATGAAACAGGGAACTGGGGAAACGAAACAAAAACAGCTGAGACGAAACAATCCAACTAGATATCCGGGAACTTCGGTCTACTCACACACGCACACACGAACACGGGCACTGGCAAAACATAAACAAACGTTAACAGTTAATATAACTGTCTTCAGAAATAATAATCATACTCTTCCATTGCAAACACAACATGCAGGGTAACGGAATCTGTAAATAATAATATTCCCTCCACGTTTTGATCCTACCATTAAAACATAGCTCAACAGCTGAGATTTGTCAAAACATCAGCTGCAACATAAATTAAGCAGAAAAAAGTGGTGGGGGACTTCCCCTCAAACCACCTTAATATTGTGAACAGAGTATAAGATATATTTTGGGCATGAATTATGAAAAGTTAATATGGAAACATAGTAATAGATGTTATGGACAATGGTTTAGTTTTCATCCTAACCCAAGAACAAGGAAACACTATTCTTATTTATTTAAGGAAGTATTTTGTCTGATTCGTCAATATTTTGGTGTTTTAATATAATCAGTTACACAATAATTATTATTTTTTAATCAAATTTACTGAGTTTAAGTAACTCAAATATTTAGCAGTGAACGCAGAATAATTTTTCTCTGGGTTGCCTGCGACGGCAGTCAGCTGTTTTACGTTGTTGTATTCAAAACAAAAACAACAACAATGCAACAGCTGATTTACAAGTATTTATAGTCAGTGTTCCCAACTTCACGCTTTACTTGTTAAAACAGCGTATTCCAAATTCGTTTTGTGTACTTTCTGTTAAAATTCTAGAGTACGAAAAAGTTGAAAAGAGTGTGGGAAAGTGTAAACAGTGTAACGTGTTGAGAAGAGAAAAGAGTGGAGGGAAAGTGGAAGAGTTTAGAAAAGGGGAAAGAGTACAGAAAGTAACTATTTTGAGTGTTATAATTACTGTAAAAATACGTAAATTTCAGGTCACTGTTTTAGTTGTTTAATTGGGCAAAAAAGTGGACCCCCCAATTCCTTTCAATGGCAAAATATGGTTGATAAAACAAAAAGTGTATGTTGATCATCAATTTAATACGAATGTCATAAAAGAATTAATTTTGGATTTAGGAAAGCACTTGCTCAGTCACCAATCAAATATACAACAATTTTACTTTCAATTTTTTGTGCTCCTAACGACTAAAAACGAAACAAGGTCTTACAATGAAAATAATATACGTAAACGCTACTTCCCAATAGTGATAGTCACTGAAACTAGAGCATTGAGATAACCGACCTATTTTGGAATAGCAAGGCTGTTAACACATCATAATTGCTCAACATTTTCTGTAAAAACTTGTCACAAGAATTCTTTTTCAACCAGTCTAGATTGGAAGTTAAAAAAAAATTCAAAAGTTATATCCTAAGAAGAGTCCAATAAGGTTTCTCTGTATTACCACTTTAATCCTTTCGAAATATACGAATATAGCCTAATGTATTTAATGAATTTAAACTATTTTGAATTTAATTTTAAATAAACTCAACATCCTAATGGTTGGGGATTTTATTTTATAGGAAAAAACAGACCAAAATGATTTGCAAATAATGAAGACGGTCCAATTATAAACTCTGAATTATTAAAACTAAGAAAAACATTGTAGTTTATTCAAATTTAAAAAGATTATTTTTCTTTTATTTTTCCAATATAATTAAAACAATTTTAAAAAGTATTTTTAATAATTTAACATCGTTTGAATGGAAAGAAACTGTAGGTGAAGCAAGAAAGATATATTTTTCCGTTATTCTTTGTGCAAACTAAGCTTATATATCGTTTAATTCTGCATAAAGTTTACTAAATTTCATGTGTGTTGAAATCTTTTGTAAAATTTACTGTTTTTCGTGGAATTAGCATCAAATATTTTAAAAAGCCGTGGTTTTTAAACGGTTTAGGAGTTTTTATTCAGCTGCCAGAAAGATGGCAAATTTGGCTGAATCTCAACCATGTAGCTTAGCTATAAATAACCGTTAAGGTGTTATTGATATTTATGTAAACAAATATGCAAAGACAAACTACGCTAAACAAAACGAGATAGTACTTGTTTAAATATCCGTTTCTGCTAATTTTAACCCAGGAATCTCTACCTAAAATAAGTGTCCACCTTTTGTGAACACCCTGTATATCACTTGTATAGTCTCAGTTCACTCAACAAGTGGGCGATATGAGTCTGACTAAGCAATATTCAAATGAGACTTGATTGGTCCAAGTGGAACCGCGCACGCATTAATATTCAACTTTAAACGTATCCGAATCGTGTCATTGTGTAACAAATAAAATATAGTTCATGATAGACAACTGTAAAATATCATGCTTGGGAATGAACTTAAATTCTTGGTTTCAACAATAATTTAACGAAAGAAAAATATTTATGTTTTATTATGAAATACACACAAATTGGGTGCAACGTGTAATATTTTCGTGGGGTAAGTTGTGGGTTAAAGAACACATATATGTGAAAAAATGAATGAAAGGTTGAACTAAACTAACTATATATTAAATGAACTAAATGAAATGTGATCTCACGAAGAAAGTTCCACTGGCACATAAGATAAACTATCCTATCAGCAAGTGCACTTTGTTAGGTTAAAAAGATTGACTTTTAGATTAGCAGACTGATTAACTTTGTTTGAACTAAAATAATAGTTGTGGAAAAGGTTGAAAAATATGTCCCGTTAAAATATGTCAAAATTTCATTGATTTCACGTAGCCTACTTTATATACAGTAACAGTTTTCATGAACTATAATGTAGGCCTAGTTAAATGCTTACTCACTAAATGTCTCACTAAAAGACTGATTCTTTAATTCAATCTAGTTTCAGTGATTTGCATATTGATATTTTGTTGCTTAAAATTTTAAGATCTACACTTATAAGACTATAAATAAGCATTTTTACCCATATAAGTAAAGTGCTGCAGTTAAGTTAACTTCCCAACTATTTGTCTTCAACATCTCGCATCCCATAACAAGGTGTGTTTTGTTTTGTTCCACACTTGACGGAGGGAAATTCCACGCCGCACAGTTGGCAGCGCTGTAGCACATTGTTGCGACGCGGTTCAGTTTCTCAGTTCCTCACTTCTCATTCAGTCATCGCGATGTGGTCCTGTATGTTTCTCCTGTTAGCCGCGTCGTCAGCGAGCGCCGCCATAGAGTCTTTTCGCGTAGTTTACGAGTGGTACAAGGTAGACTTCACCTGGAACAACGACGAGCACAAGTTGGAAGCTTACACCAAGAAACGCTACGAGCCTAGGAACAACGTCATAGAAAATGTCCGAGTTTGGGAAGACGTCGCTTTTCTTAGTCTTCCGAGATCGAAAAGTGGAGTTCCAGCAACTTTGGTGACTGTACCTTCTGCTCCGGAAGGACCTAGTGCGTCTCCTCGACTCCGACCCTTCCCCGACTGGAGCTTCCAGGAGGTCGGTCGTTGTGATCATCTCCAGAACGTCCGCGCCTTGGAAGTCGACCCTGATGGTTTCCTATGGGTCGCGGATTCCGGAGTGGTCGGAGAATTCCGAGAATATTCCGAACCCGACAACAAGTGTCCACCAAAAATAGTGATTTTCGATATAAAAACACGCACTCGCGTATCCGAATACGAATTTTCACGAGAATTACTCCCGTCGTCTTCAGTCCTGAGCGATATCGTTCTAGACCCACGGGGAAGTAAAACAGCTTACATCAGTGTTGTCAGCGAGTCTGAATCTTTCGTGGTCGTCTACCAAAACCAAACAAGATCAGCTGTTAAAGTCAAACTCGTTGGATTTCCGGAAGTGAAGATGACATCAGTGGTAGTTAACGGCACAGAGGTTCCGATGAAGCTGAACAAACTTTCATTGGCTTTATCTTTGAAAAGGAACACTTTGTATTTGAATCCATCTTGGCAGGAAACGTTGTTCTCGGCTGATTTGAAAGAGTTGCAGAGTTCTACTTCCAGCACTATTCGTAGAGTTGGTAAGCTTCCGGGTTTGTCGTACACCCTTTCTGTGGATTCCCAAGACAGTCTTTACTTCTCGGTTCTCGAAGGTGACGCTGTCGGAAAATGGAACACTTCCCAGAAGTTCGACTCTGGCTCCATCGTCGCTCGAGATCACTCCTTCCTGCAATTCCCGTCGTCCTTCGCCCTGGACAAATTCGACACCTTCTGGATAGTGTCGAATCGTCTGCAGACTTACTTCAACAATGATGTGAACCTGGAAGTTCCCAATTTTCGTCTGCTAAGAGCTTACTCCGGAACAAAATCGTATTTGTACGCGTCTACAGAAAACTCCAGTGGCAAGCTTTCAGTGTCTAGTTTTATGTTTGTGTTGTTGTTTCTGATCGTTTTAAGGTAAGATAGATAACATTTTTTAACATTACTTTTTTACTATTCTTAAAATATTTGTTACCACAAACAATAGTTTTTAGTACAGTACAAATTGGTACAATTTATCCATTTTATGTGGATTTTATTCATTTTTGATTTCTTTGCTTTGAAAGATTCCCATAGGCCTACTGTCGGTTTGATTAGTTATTGTTGGTTTTTATAGTTACGTAGTTCATTGTTTTGATCCCATACATTTACCAATTTGCTTGGCCTTTGTTTGGATCCATAGAAAGAGTTTTAAAATGACCTTATTAGTAAAGGTAATTTATTTTTACAAAACATAATTTTAGAAATTAATTAAAAAAGAAAATAAAATGGATGATAGCGTAGTAAAAAATTAACAAAATTAAAGATGGCCATTTAAATAATTATTCTTGTTGTACATTGGATAAAAAATTTGATAGATTCGAAAAAAAATATAACTAGAGTCTTAGCTTTTTAAATAATTACTAGATAGTTTCACAAGAATAAATTATGAAGGATAAACTTTATGTCCCATAATTTTAGAATATAAATAAATAAATTAATTAATCAATGTTAATATAGTTTAATAAACAACCCCTATTACTTAAATTACTCTTTTTGTTGGAGTAACTAATATGACAACATTGAAATAACGTAGCTAAACCGTATGTTGTTACTGTAACGAGAACAGTTCTTTTTGTTTGTGTATGAATTGTAAATATATGTTAAGCTTTATTACTGTTTTATATAATTGTATATGTTTGTAAAATAGATAACGTATTGTACAGTAAATATAACAAATAATGAAAACATGTAGGCCTACGTTTTTTATCCTCGTGTAGTATTAAAAATTAAACCAATATTACTGTAGATGGGTGGCATTCTATATTTTAAATTTATTATAAGTATTTTAAATATGTATACAATCTCACACTAGGCTATTACAGTAAATATGTACACAGTAAAACTACTCTTACAGTTCACAATTAAACTTAGTAGCTTACACTATTTTCTACTCAAGAATTAGTTTTTCTACTGTGATTGCACTGAAGATTACAAGTAATAGGATATTTTTAACATACCCAAGTTAAAAAAAATAACTTCTATGTCTAAGCTTGGTGTGAAGGGGGAAGAACTCTATTCCCTCCACTTGATCTTTGCCTTAAAAATAATAGCTCAACAGCTGATTGAGTAACATACATAGAGCACAAAAAAGTTGTGGGGGAACTTCCCTCAAACCGCCTAAATTTTGTGAACAGAGTATAATTGAGAAGTTCCATGCACATAGGTAGTACATCTATCTAGTATCTATTTATACTATTATAAAATTGAGGAGGTGTCTGTCTGTTTGTCTGTGCGGCTGCCACGATTAAAATAATAAACCGATACAGCCCAATTTAAGCACAAAAATGATCCACATATCTAGGAATGTCATAGGCCTATTCACTTCCCCGAGTTCCTCTCGGGCTACGCCCCTTGGATGTCCAAAGTTTTGATGTGAGGTTTTCAACAGTAAATTTTCAAAAGTCTCCATGGAAGCATGAGAAAACTCACAGTTTACCTTTACGTTGACATTTCAAAGTAAACAGTCAGAACTGCATAATGCTTATTTCACAATTTCAGACAGCTGATCCAAACAAAACGAACATATTTTACACAACTACTATGTGGTAGGTTTATTTATGTCATTGATTATGGAAAATACGTTATATTTTGTAAACAGTAGGACAATGACAATGTAGGACATACTTTTTGTTTAGATTCAGTGGATCTTTGCTTAAAAATTTGAGCTACTTAACAAATGAAATGCTTGGATTAGGCTGCATAGTATATCTTCCCTTGCGAAGCACGGGTACATCAGCTAGTATAAAGCTTAGATATGATAAGTTCTATCAATCATTAATAATTGTTAGTGTTCAAGATCAGGTCTACTTGATGTCCACCAAAGCTCAATGCGGCAACGTTGACCCGGAGATGTTATTTAATTAACCTCGCCATGATAAATTGCAACATCTGGCAGCCATTTGTTGCACACTTACAGTCCTCATCTTCAAGTCCAAATGGGTTCTTAACTTAACTAGTAATTCCATTTCAGAACACCCTACAATGATAGAAGGTGCATATAAGAGACTTATTATAATATTTTTAATATATTCAGAGTGTACGGCAAGTGCATTTTTCCCCCAAGGGCTGAAAGTGGGCTTTTGCCAACTCGCAATCGTGTGTCCAAATTGGTTCAGTTTGTAATTCACTTCCCCTCCAGATGTTTTTTACCAAACTGTACTCCCCACAAAATTAAGGTTGTTTAGGGGTAGAAATATGTCCTCTATAGTTGATACTACCTTTAAAACAATAGTTCAACAGCTGGTTTGCCACAACATCAAACAGCTGATGCATACACTAAGAAACTTTTTGGTGGGGGAACTTCCCCTCAAACCACAAAAATAATTATAGCCATAAACTTACAAGTTATAAAATATGAAAACACACTTTCTAAGAGAAACCTTTTTTTGCTCGGACCCAAGAAAGCAAACAAGAAAGAAATCAACAAATAATTATTATGTTTTATTTTTAATTTGTAATTGAGTTACTATGCCAACTGACATGTTTTCCGGTAAATGCTTATCCACTTTTTACTAATTAACGAAAGCAATGCAAATAGTAGGTGAAAGATAATAACTGAATAAATTAACAGCTTATCAACAAGATTGAAAGTAGGGTCGAAAAGTAGTAATTTTCCGTTCTGGCCTACAAAAAGTCCACTTTCGTTGATTTAAAGACGTCCCGAAATCAGCTGAAAGTCACCACTGACATTATATACCATCAGTGCAAGACAATTTTATTTACAAACAATAGTAGCCCGCCTTCAATTAACTGTATTGTTAGACAATTACATTCAACTGTGGGTAGAGTATTTTACACGCTCGCTTATCTTTACAATGTTATTGATTTGAATATGCCATTGCCTTATCATACTAATATTATAAATGTGAAAGTTTGTGTGTTTGTTTGTTTATTTGTTTGTTTGTTTGAAGTTCAATCACGCATTAACTACTGGTCGGATTGTGTTGAAATTTGGTATGATGATAGCTCACATTCCCGATTAACATATAGACATATTCCTACCTCAAAAATCCTTTGGGGCTCTGCCCCAGCGGCTCTGGAGTTTCCCATGTTAACCTTATGACTTTATGTTACCTTATTCATATTTAAAAGGAATTAAATAATTTTGCCAGCTGTTTCAACTACACAATTTGTTTCTATGATATTCAATAGCATTAAAAGGTTATACGGTTTACCAACAGGGTGCAGCACCATTAGTTCTTTATACATTTATGACAACAGCCAATTTGAACCAAGCAGCAACAAAAACCTGAGTGTGAGAACTTTACTTCTTTCTATTGTTTAGGTGAAGTGGTAGAACATTATGGCTATGGTAGATGTTCTATGTACTATAGTATACTGTAGATTATAGTAAACCAAATTTTCTCAAAACGTGTCCTCTCTCATTGCAAATGCAAAGCACAAGTATTTAAAGCACAAGCATTGTATAGGCTACCAACCCCGTACGAAGGACGGGTACTCAGCTAGTATTACATACATTTAAAAACTTCCACCCCGACAGTAATGACGAACATTTGATACACACGTTTAATTTTTAATTCTAAATAACCTTGTAAATCAATCAGTGGCGGTCCCAGGATTTCATTTCGGGGGGGGGGGGGGGGATGAGCTATAAAATATGCTCAAGCTATTAGATTGATGTTAGCTAATAAAATATATAATATTTCGGGGGGGATATATCCCTCCCACCCCCCTCCCTGGGACCGCCACTGAAATCAATCCCAGTTATAAGAATTTGGTCACTAAGAAAAGTTTACTGTGAATTGATGAGCATTATTTGAGTAGATGTGTTGACAATCTTATAAAGAGTAGTGAAATACATTTTAAAATAAGCCAGTCCATTGACAAACAATTTACAGAGGTTATTTTATTTTATTTTATTTTAGGGTAACTTAGGTGCAGTGTCTCTAGAAAAAACAAAGAAACACAATAAAAACTTATATTTTTCAACAGACTTGGGTGGTGAAGAAAAATAAAATGTCTGTCCATACATTTGTGCAAATAAGTAAAATAATAAAACATTCTGAGTTTTAAACCAACAACCCCTTTTAGTTGGATCGGACTGATTTCCGAAATACATAATAAAAATACGTCAGAAGTATTTTTAAAAGCACATTTAACCACAACCGGAGACAGTTTAGGAGAAGAACTGAACCTGGTCAGTTCGTTGTGATCATGGAAATTATATGTTGTGTTTTCTTCTCTCCATCAACCTTTTAAGACACTGTATTATTTCTGGGTTCATAATAAGTTTAAATAGCACATTTAAATCGTATTTAAGTCAACACACAGGGCCATTTTGTATTTTTCAAATATGTTTTTCAGTATCCGTCATACTCAGAACTTAACGCAATGGTTGAAAAATACAAATGTCGTTAAATTTGTTATGAGACCAGAAATGACACCTTTAAAGGTTGGTTACGAAACATCCTGTACAATCTTTTGTTTCTAGGAACCTAGAAACGAAATTGTGGATTTTTATAGGCATGCACTGGGCTCCCTGGTGTGGATTAACGTCCACAACTACTACTATCCGCAGTACTATCCTAATAATTAGACCAATTGGTCAATTACAAGGCAAAAATGTGGTTCGGATTCCACTATAACCTGTAGGTCCCTTAGTTGTCATTGGCTGTTTGAGCTATTAATTAACAGCTGTGTCTAAGGAACATGTCGGCCTTAGTCACTAACAAGACTACAAGATCGCGCCACTCATCCTACACTCATCCTTCACCCATATTTGAGTTAAAATACACACATAGTGGCGTCACCATTCTAAATAATTGATTGATATAAGTACAGTGATAAGGACCTAGAAATGGCACTCATTGACACCCATAGAAGAAGGTGGCTGGAATAAAATACCCCCGCCGCAGCAAACCTGCCGACTAAGCGAATTTCCATTTGTCTGAATTGATTTTCAGTTAAATATATTTTAATAACATTAGGTTTAACGAGTACCTAGGTTTGCTGCTACAAGGAAACTAAAAAAGTGTGTTTTTGAGTAAAATATTGATAGCTTAGTACAAAATAAATAAATTTGCCAAGTTTGATCAAAATATATCCATAAACAAGCAAACTACAACATTTGACAATATTCTCCATAAGAATAACATGGGAATTTTAAATTAGCAATATTTTTAATTTTCTCCGTTACTAATAATCGAAGAAAATACTTTTATATACTAAATTATTTGTTTTTTTAAGCTCTTTAAAAAGGTCTAAAGAGAAATCGGGAAATTTTGTGTTTTGAGGGTCAAAAAAGAGAAAAACCAATTTTTACCCCATAAAACCCCCTGTAAAGCCCCGTTCCCATGGTCCGATCGTACTGGTTCGCGAACTCATTCAAGTTTATCCCGCTTTACACCTTTAAACAAAATTTCATCAAAATCGGACAAAAATTACTCAAGTTATAGTTTTTATATATGTATATATATATATAAGTCTATATATATATATATACATATATAAAAATTTTAACGAATGGTGTTTTTGGCCTCTGGGGACATCAAAATGAAAAAGTAAATCGGTCCCGGGTCTAGGTCTTACCGTGCCACCTACGGTAATAGCTACTTCCCTATAGGGAAATTCGCTAAAAAAGAAACTATTACAGCCCAGTGAAATTTCGCAGCCAAAAAGCCCTTATTTGGGATAACAATTCTACAAAC